AATAAATCAAATTAGCTGAGTACTGTTTGGACACTAGTGTACAGAAATTTAAATAAATTTGTGAATAACTAGAGAACTACTTTTGCAAATTTGCTCTTAAATAAGGTGACATCATTGGTAGTTGCAACAACCTTCGATAGTGATGTCACTAATAAGATACTAGCCGACACAAAAACTTGGATCATCAATAGTTTGTTTTTTTAACCAACTAATAGCTGGAAAATCAAATTTATCGAGCTCAGCTCAGCTCGGTTACAGGCTTAATTTTGATCTCATTTGGTCACTTCATGTAAATTTAAGGTGAACAATGCCGGGATGACTATAATGAAGCACGCATCGGATTACACGACCGATGATTTTGGTCGTATAATGACAACAAATTTGGAGGCACCTTATCACATTTCCCAATTGGGATATCCTTTGCTCAAAGCTTCTAAATCGGGAAATATCGTGTTCGTGTCTTCTGTCGCGGGCTCCGTTGCCCTTCCTGCTCTCTCTGCTTATGCTGCATCTAAAGGTGACAAAATCAAGTTAATTATATCTTTGTCTTTTATTTTTAAACAATCTTAATTTGCTTTTTTTTGTACTGTGATTTTCAGGTGCAATAAATCAACTGACAAAAAATTTAGCTTGCGAATGGGGTAAGGACAATATTAGAACAAACACTGTAGCTCCATTTGGGGTTAGAACTGATATTGTGAAACATGTACGTATGTCTTCTTATATTTTAAATTTGGAAGATTCTACGGTCCTGTTACAGAACTATTCAGTCGTGATTTGTAATCGTTAGATTAATTATTCACGATTGTTACATGATGATTTAACGGTTATAAATCCCGACAGAATAATTCCGTAACTGGACTGTAGCATTTCCCTATAAATTTATATTATTTTGAATATTATAACATACATAACTTACAAAAAACAACAAAATACTATACGTTACAAAAAAAAAAAATTAATTGTTTCTTGTAGGAGGTTCTGGACCCATCGATCCTGAAGTTTTTCGGGCCATTAACGGGCCGAACCCAACTGGGCCGGATTGCAGAGCCCAATGAAGTGTCGTCGCTGGTCGCATTTCTTTGCTTGCCGGCAGCTTCTTACATCACCGGACAGGTTATTCATGTTGATGGAGGCTTTACAGCAGGAAGTTTCTAGACACTACTGTTTTTAATGTTTTAGTTCATTTTGCTAAATTTTAATATCAATTTGGATCAGATTTCAGTTATATGTATTTAGCTCATATATATCATATGAATCTTGATTGTTGCCAAATTATTTTTATGAACAAATGGCGATTTTGACTATGATAAATTAAAATTAATGAAATTTATAACAATTTAGTATCATATAAATAAATCAGTTTTACTTATTTTAAGCATTTGTTTTAACAAATATTTACCACACGCCCCTCTCCAGAATATGTGCTAATTCAAAGTTGGGATGATCACTACCTGAAAATAGTCCAGTTGTAACGTGATATTTATAAAAGCACTCACAATACATTAAGTTTCTTAATAAAATATAATGTCACAAAAAATAGACTTAGTTTTGGGTCTCTTAATAAAATATTATGTCACATAGGAAATAGACTTAATCTATTAAAAAATGACTCCCAATACAATTAAGATGGACATGATCTATCTTATGTGGCAAGAAAAAAAAAAGAAACAAAGTCCACACATGAATCTATTTTAGACCCAAATACAAACTCAAACACTCATCATTTATTCCTAATTTTTTAATTTTTCTTTTAATAAAAGAAACATATTAAGACATTTTTATTGATTACATGTATACTAGACCTAGTATTTTATTTTTCCATTGAATAGTTTTTGAGTTTTTTACTTAGATTTGTCCATGTACTTGAGTCTATTTATATGTCACATATGTAAAATTAGACCCGATGCATTGTGAGTGTCTAATAGACCTAAATTTTGATATATAATATTCGACAATGTTTATACGTTAATTTAAGGTAATATTACTACCAATTTGAAGAAAAAAAAAAGGGCAAAGTTAAAGAAAGTAACCCAAGACCTACGTAAGACTACAAATCGCCACCCATTAGCCTTCTTCGACGAAGACTCGACTCGGACCAGTGGTCACCCAAGACCACTTGGCCATCCCCGACATCGTGACTCTTCAATTTCACTGCGATGGTTGCTTAGCTGGGCTCGTAGGACTCTTGGTGGAAGCCGCTGGAAAACGTCTCTATTGCGAGAGATGCGCCGTTGGGAGGGGTTCTTCTGCGCCGGGGAGATGGTAGTTTCGCCAAAAAATCGGGGTTTTGCCTTTTTGGGTGCCGGGAAGGAGGGGCGGGCAGCTGTTTTCACCAGAATCTTCGCTATGGCGGTCCTCCGATACTCTCTTGCAGGTCAACGATAAACGGCGACAGAGAAGATGAGCCTTGGTCGGCGGCTAGTTGAGTCTCTGTGTAAGTGCCGATTGGCTTCGATTAGTAGGTACATCTCTCTCTTTCCTTGTTCGAAGCTTGGTGATTCTATGGCGATTTCAAGATGGGCTTATGGGTTTGGAGTTTTGGGGCTTAAGGTTGAGTTACCATTAGCCGGCAAGGTGTTGAAATGTGCGGTAGTTGGCGGATAGCAAAGGATTCTGGCGCCTTGTCCTCGATCGGGGTGTTAGAGCTGTGGATCGGGCTCGGTTCTCTAGTGTTGGAATTGGATTAGCCGATTGCCAGTAATGCCAGGAGCTGGCTGGTTATGCTCTCGATCGAAGGTGGGTTGATTCGGGTTTACCTCAGAATCCAGGTATAGCTTCTGTATAGGCGTTCGGCAGCAATTTCGGGAGTTGGACCTTGGATTTCGGATATCACTTGGATTGACTATTTCTCTACTGGTTTTGATCCGTTTTATTGGCTGGGGAAGGACATTTTTTGAGTATTTCATTTATATGTTTTGTGTTGTTCTGTTGTATGCGTTGTGTTGTATTAGGACTTTTAGTTTGGACCTTTGGTCCCTATGAGCCTAGTGTCAAACTTATTCTCCTGTTGGGAGCCGACACTCAGGTATTACCCTGTGGGGGTCTTCTAGTTTAGTAGTTTTGTGTGTTAGTGTCTTGTGTGTTGTGAGTATTACACCGTTGGGGTCGACTCTAAGCGATCTTTGACTGTTCTTCCAGTTTTATTCGACTGTTGGCTGTTCATATTCAACTGTTAGCTATTTGTATTCAACTTGTAACTGCTCTTTTGTAAATTTTCAGTTATATATATAATCTCTATCGTTTCAAAAAAAAGGTAACATTAAATGCTACCTTAAATTTTAAGCTTTAATTTATGTTATACATTTAAAAAATTCAACTAATATCTATCAAGTGTGCACGTTTTTATTTTTATTTTTTCAAACAAACAACTAACAACATTAAAATTCCAATCTTTATATTTAAAAAATCTCAATTAAAAATATAATAAAAAATTTTAAAATTTCAATCTTCGTACTTTTTAAAATAACTATGTTTATTTTTTTAATATGCATAAAGTAAAAATAATTAATTCATAATTAAATATATAATTTATTATCTTAATATACGATCAATTGGTTTAGAAATTTATTATTAAATCATAAATATTTCTATATAATTAATTAAATATATTTTAAAAAAAATCAAAAAATTTCGTGATTAAATTAGATTACTATCCAAGTTGATTGAATTACTTTTAAGTGGATATCAAATACTTCTTCCTAATTTTTTTAAATATTATTCTAACTTTATCAACTATTTGCCAAATAAATATCGTTTTAGATATTTTGTACATATTTTTCATTATTACTTTTATTTAACTAATAAATACATTACATATTTTCATATTCACTATTTACTTTTTCACAAAACATTCATCTCTATCTTCATTAAATATATAAATTAATATTCATAATACTTTATTACATAAATGTGATGTAATTCAATTGTCAAAACTTCAAATTATTCTATTAAATCGTTTACTGTTTATTCAAATTTTAATTTCTATATATTTTGGAATAAGTTTAAATAAAATAGGTTACTTAGATATTTAAACAACTTATAATTTCAATTGTATAAACTTAACAAAAAATTTATAAATCTCTATTTTATTTAAATATATAATTTTCTCCAACTGACTAGTGTTAGAAAAATTTGATAACAAGTACTTTATTCAAGTAAACTAAACTGGTTATAAACAAATCCTCAACTCCTCAAGTAAGAGTGTGTCTAACCCAATTTAATAAAAAACAATAATTGAATCATGATTAATGTTTATTTATATATTTCATTTGTAATAATATTATTTTCTGGAACATCGTACAGTCAAACACTAATTAATATAACAATGTATAACAATCTGATTTTGTAGAAAAAAAATACAATATTGAAAATAATTATAAATGGATCAGACATTTGGCTTGAATTCCTCTTGATGAGGAAATTTGTTGTAGCACAGTATAATCAACTTCGATCATCTGGGGAAATATTCTTCACATCCATTGCTCCAAACCAATACTATCATAAATATAAATATATATTCAATTCTTTCATAAAAAAATAAAAAAAAAAACCAACAATATAAAAGATACAAGAAAAATATAGGCCTCAAAGATCTTGGTGTTATAGAATCATCAGATGGGATCATAATTCAAGTTTCCCATCAAGAGTAGCAAATATTTTTCACTATCATAGACCAACAAAAAACAATCTTTGTACTATCATAATAAAGCTTTAAAATTAAATCAATTCAAAATATCAAAAAAAATAAAAATTATTAGGTCAGAAGTAGCTGGTTGAGAAATCATGGATTATATCTCATTGGGAATCCGATTGATTTTTTTTCTTCATACCTAATTATATTCAATTAAATAAACAATTTAAGACAGACTATAAATTTCCATTGAAAATAATAAATTAAATAATACAATTACAATCATCATAGATCATTGAAAATGGATCAGACATTTGGCTTGAACTCCTCAAAAAAAATTGAGAAAATTTGTTACAGCACAATTATAATCAACTTCGATCATCTGGGGAAAAATAATCTTCATATCCACATTGATTTTAAAAAATAAAATGAAAACATTAAAATTAAAATAAGGTTTAATTTATTAAAGTAATTGAGATGGATCAGAAATATTGGCTTGGAATTTCTCCACAAAAAAAAAGGAGAAAAACAAAAAAAGTCGCTCAGTAATTTCACAGTCGAATCATCTGGGGAAAAATTCTCATCACTTCCATCTCAAAATCAAAAACAAAATACAGTCTCGAGCAAATTATATCTATATGTAAGCAGAGAGATCTGAAAAGATGAATAGCAGAATATAGCTTCAGATTAAGACACCATTTATGATTAATCAAAGCTTCGAACAATCCTAAGTTAAAGACTTAAAAAAAAACGAACAAAGGGACATTAAATTTGCAGAAATCGATAAAGGGACATCAGGTCTCCAAGGTGAATTTTAGCATCAAGGTTGAAAAATCAGCCGCAAATTACCCATTTTCACGTAAGATTCATCATTTGCCCCCAAAAAAAAAACAACTAAGATTCATAGCAAAAACATTTACTACAGCAAAAACAAAAAAAAAAAGCAAAACATATTGAACGGAAAGCGATCGGAACCTGTCGGGATTCACTGTTGACATCACACTTAATATCAGTGGATTGACAGACATGAATTTCTTCGTCACATCGCAGGTAAAAATAGAAACAAAAATTGGGGAATTAGGAAATACGATGATTATGCTCAGAACTTCTTAGAGGGATTGAGTACCGTCACCGGCGGCCAGCGCCATACGGCTCAAAAAAAGAGTTTCATCACAGCTAATCTATTCAAAAAATGAGAAAGGAGAAGGAAAAAAAAAAAAAAATGTGAAAATAAACAGAAGGATAGATTCGGCTGCTGAGGGTTTAAGGGATGAAGATAGGGCAAAAGGCGAAGAGGTGTTTTTATAGCTTATGTCGTAAGGCCTGAAACGGTGCCGTTTGGCGCCTTGTATGTTGGGTGGTGGCGGCTCCGCGAAAAACCCTAAAGTTCACCGTGGGTGCAAAACGGTGTCGTATTAAAACTAAGTTATACTATCTCCTATTTTTAATACTAGATAAGTTTACGCCGTGCACGCACGGCGGTCTAACACCCGGTGTAAAACTACTGTGAAAATTTGTTATAATT